GTTCTAATGTTCTACGTTAGTTTCCTATCTGTAAAATATAATTTAAGAAAATGACATGAATGCCATTTTTATATAATTTTTAAGTTCTCCGTAATCTTAAAAATTTAGGAAAATATTCTTCATAATTTAATATTTTATCAAATTTTAGAAATTTACTATAGTCATCACTCTTATTTTCTGATAATGTTGTGTTTGGTCACCTGTATTTACAAAAATGGGCACATTTATGAACATACAAAGAAATTAAAAATTCTTTTAAAAATATCAGTGTTTGATGATTTGTATTAATTTTTCTAATTATAATTTTAAAAAAAAATTTAAAACAATGCTTGTAAAAATTCATTACTCATTGAAAAAAAATTTTTGTTAAGACAAGAGTGTTATTAATATGTCTTAATTATAAAAGCAATTAAAAGTTTTTCTAATTATATAATGCCATATTTTTATTGCATTTTTTATTTTACTATTCGGAGCAGATTTTCAGTAAGTGGTGTCTCTGTTTGACAAAAACAAATTGATGGTTTAAATTCTCCAAGGATTTTAATTAATATGAATATGAAGAGGCTGAAATTTCAGTTTCTCAAAATTTCATTAAATAAAGTATGTAAGGGTAACAGATGTAAAAAAAAAAAAAAAAAAAAAAAAAAAATTTTTTACCAAAATGAATAAGTCCTGAAAACTGTTGACGCAAATGTGCTGAGGAAGGATTAAAAAATTTGATAGAATAATAAAAAATTCTTTATTTTTTTCATTTAAGATTAACAAACATTTTGACCATAAAACTTTGTTTTTATCAAGTTTGGGGTCTTTTTTCATCATGGTATGCTTTTTTCTTCTTTTTTTTTTTTTAAGTTTTTGGCAGTAACAAGTCAAAAGGAGTGATTTACTCTTGACACCACAATCACTGTACCACAGCTGTTTGAGGGTTCCTGTAGACCCCCCGCCCCGCCAAACCAGCACCATCAAAAAAAAAAAAAAAAGAAAAAAAGTCAATTCAGGGTTGCTATGTTAAAAATTTTCTATCCCAAGTAAAAATCATTTAAAAATAGCAAAAGTCATTTTGTCACAGCTTATTTTCTCTGAATAAAATGAATTTTCATACTTTTATAGGGGTAAAACAAGGTAAAATATTGAAAAATGACTTGTCATCATCTGAACAAAATGTCAAAGAAAATTTTGATCTGAACCCCATGAAACTAGGTATTTTCCGAATGCAAACTATATGTTCAATCATTTTTAAATAAAGTTGGCTGGCGTAAATGATTCAAAAGTTTTTTTCAGGGGTCAATCAAAATGTGAAAAAATAGTAAAAATTTTACTTTTTTTTTTTTTTTTTTTTTTAGTTCTAAACAAAAATTTTCCCCAGTAATGGGAAAATAACCATTTTTTTTTCCTTTTTTGGAAAATCAGAAAGCCTAAATCATAATCAAACTATTTCAGGCATAAAATTAAGAGTTTGAAGGAAAACAAAATTCCCAGGGGGTCAAAATGCAACAAAATCCATTGGTAATTTTTAATTATGGCTGCCAGGGGTTAAAAAAATTGGAACAAGATTTTTTTCCCCCCCAAAATAGTACCGATAAGAAAAATAATGTTCAAATTAAGCCAAATATGACTTTGACATAGCTGGGTCAAAGGCCAGCTAGCCAGCAATAAAAGTTAAAACAAGCTGTCATGAACTGGTTATCAACCCTAGCACTTACAAGATAAGAGCAAACACCTTGTGACCCAGGTGATGACAAAAACACATTGTTCTTTTTTCATTGGATGTCTTCTGTATTTCCCATTGTAGAGTCATATTGCAGTTACTTTCATTCAATGATGTTCACACCAACTTAAAGAGAAAGGATTGAAATTTAAAAAAATTTTTTTGAAGGGAAAAAAATTATTTTTTCAATAAATAAAAAAAAAAAAAAAAAAAAAAAAAAAATGATTTTTCTCATAAAATTTGCCATAATTTCTTAATGCTAACCCCCAAGTGACATTTTTCACAGCCTAATTGAAGATTAATTACTAGTGAATAATTCCATGTGCAAACAATAACCATCTGGATCCAATAACATGGCCCAAAAACGTCTAGAAGGTAACTGATTGATCAAAAAGTTGTTGCACCTAATTATGTTTTCCATGGTCAGTTTCCATTGTTCCATCTTGATGTTGTCATTTTCAGACAGCCAAGTCATCGAGGATTTAGGAAAACAGTTTGGCACAGGTTTGCTTTGAAAACTGCATTCTATGAGGGATTTAAATGTTACTGACGAACGGGAATTTTTGCCAAATATTTTATTCAAGCACCATGTTGGATTTTTCTATATGATGAAAACAATCGTTTTAAACAGCCGTGATACCTTCCCTTAGCAATTTTTATCGTTTCAGAACAGCTGTTTTGAGAATTTTAATAAAGTGCTAACATATGAAAATGGATTTACACATTTTTCCCTTGAGAATTGACAACAAAAATTTGAATAAAAATAATTGTCTATTTTACAATGAGTTCATAATAATAGCTTGATTATCTCAAGTAATCTATACATATATAAAGGGCAGTTGTCTGTGTGTGTGTTCAGCTAAAACTAAAAAACTACAATAGTTCAGGACAAAGTAAATATGTATACAGTCATTATCACCCAAGCTAGCTTTTTGTAAAAAAATGATTTGTATTTACAAAGATATATTAAAATTAAAATGCATTAGAATGCATTCAAAATTCTCAGAATTAAAAAGTAAAAATGAACGGTAATAATTCTTATTCAAGATTAGAATTACCATTTTTACTTTTTTATTCTGCTAAATGCTACACATGTATAAAATTTTAAAATTTCTATTCTCTTGAATTTATTTTCACATCTATATTAAATAAAAGCATAACTTTAAAAAAAATGAATATTAAAACAACAAAATAAATTTAAAAGAAGAATATTAAATACAGTTATTTGACAAAAAGTTTAATATTTATTTATCTTAATATCTGAGTTTGTGTGTCCAGCTAAAACTTAAAAGCTACAATAATGTGCATGTGTGTGTGTGTGTGTGTGTGTGTGTATGTTATTGAATTATTAATATTTTTCAGTCATCTTATAGAAAGTAATTTTTTATTCAATCTATATTTTATTAAATCTTTAAAAAATTAAGTTCATTGTTTCTTTGGTTATTTTTCAAAGTAAGGCTTGCTATAGGTTTTGCTTGAGAAAATGATTAAATTAAATATATTTAAATATATCTTAAGTTTATTAACTTTTTTATTAATAATAATTTGAAAAAAGTTTAATGAACTTTTATCTAATTTGTAACAAACCAAAAAAAAAAAAAAAAATGAAGTTTGTTTTTTAAAGATTGAATAAAAATTATTTTCCATAAGATGGCTGAAAAATATCAATAAATTGTCAGTAATAAACCATTATTCAAAGATCTTCCAAGCAACACCAGGTATCCTTGCTAGTCCAAGATATAAAATAATCTGAGAGGAAAATACATAATGTTTGGAAAAAACATTTTTTTAATTTATAATTATAATTACTTGTTATGAGTTTATTTAAATTTTCCCATTCTACAGTTGACAGACATTTTTATAAATTTATGAATAAAAAGATTGATATTTATCTATATGGGAAATAATAAATATTGCATTGTAGTTGGTTTACATATATTTATAATCTTGTAAATATATAATCTAATAAAATAATTAATGTTTAATACTTTTGTTATCATTTCTCAAGAAAAAAGAGAATAGTTTCAAATGTTTGGGTTTTATTAAAAAGTTTTAAAAATAGCTTTTTAAAACAATTGCTGAGAGAGCATACAGTAAGATTTGGTGTCAAGAGAAAAACCAAGCTTTCAACAAGCTACTTTTTGTGGCTCAGACAGTATCATACGTGATACACACCTTGGAAATCATGTTGCCAACTATAGGATCCAGTTTATCTTGCTATTCAATCCATAGCTGGGGGGGGGAGAAGAAATGGATCCATGTGTTTCTCAAGGATATTTGCGCATAAGTGGATGTAATGAATCTGACTGGAATTCAAACTTAGCTCTCCAATACTCTATTCTTTCGTTATCCATTTAAACCTTGCCATTTTTTTTTTAAAGAAATCTGTTGCTTTTAGAATAAATATAATAAAATTATAATTTAAAATTTTGTATCATCCTGCCATCATCGCAAGAAATCTAACTAGTCATCTGAAACTAATATTCTATCATCCACAGGACGAGAAGGACAATGTTAATCTTAAGCCTTGCCACACAGCAATGGTATGGTAATATTAGCCACTTTCTGACAAGGAAACATTCAACATTCATTGACAGAGAAGCCAGTGCTGTCATCAGCTGAAATAAGAGTGTAAAATCATCAGAAATCACAAAGAGAAATCACATCAAGATAGTTCACCTTTTGAACCTGTCTTTAAGTTTTATTAAATGTTAATTTGTCAGAACACAAAGCAATAACCATGTTTCTCTGTTGGTGCCAATCCTGTATGGGAATGACTGCATAAACATAGCCCCCTCCAAATTCATATACAAACCGCACAGATGCATGCTGGGATTTCTTCTGAACCAATAAGATAGGTCTCATCCGCCATATTCTTGTTCTTTCTTGTCTTGAGGTCAGAACACTGCAATCACTTGTCTATATCCCTTTTGTGTGTTAACACAGTTCCTAGTTTGTGAACTTTTTGCCTTATTATTGTTGATTTGCCTACTTTTGTCTTGCATATATTGTTTGCTTAGCATTATTTTTGCCCTGTTCTTTTCTTATGTTGTATTGCAAACTTTGTCAGTTCTATTTGTTGGACATTCCAGCCAATTCCATTTAACAATGGTCAATTATTTTACAGGTTATTATGAGCCCAGCATGCTTAGACAGTTACCATCTACATTCTCTAACGCTATTCAAACACAGACAATAAAAGGCACAACTTGCAGAGGACCAGAGAGAAAAAGAGAAAGACAAAGAGAGAGAGAACAAAAAAAAATTTACAAATTATAAATTTAAATCTTACTTGTGTCTGGATTTCGCTTTTCCTTTTTTATGTCTGATGGCATTTTTTGTAACTTTCCCTGAGTGATTCTGTGCCGGTGCATGGTTACTATTGTTGCTGCTGTTGTTGTTGTTGTTATTGTTGTTATTGTTATTATTGCTATTGTTGTTATTATTGTTGGTGCTGCTGCTGCTTGTGGTGGTGGTGGTAGGCGTCGTTGTTGTAGAAGTGGTGGTGGTGGTGGTGGTAGAGGTGGTGATTATGCTGACTTGACCATTTGAAGTGGAGGAATCATTGTTTGCCTCAGGCTGACTTGGTTGGCTTGTCTCTGTCATTGGACTAGCAGCTTCTCCTGGAGAAAAGAGAGAAAAAAAATATATCATCACCACCAAAAGAAATACCCTGTGCAACACATTTCACAAATACACAAGATCTGGAAATACACTGACAAAAAATAAAAGTGCAACACCATGAAGGTCAAACCAATTCTAAGAGACACAAAGCAACAAAGATGTGGTTCTAGAGACAGATCCTGAGAATGCCATGGACTGAACAGATGAGCAATCAGGAAGTTTTAAACACAAGAAGAACTACAAAGACATACTAAAAATCAGAGAGGTCTGAAATTTCTGGAACACATTATGAGGAAAGAGGGTTTGGGAAATCTGACACTCACAGGACATAGGGAAGGAGGGGCAGAGAAAAATAGTGAGTAATCTACCCAATAAGGTTGGGTAAATGAATGGTCAGTGTGAGGACAGGGGACTGTTAAAGAGCCAAACTTTGCTGAGAACTACAAGGGACAGGAAGCTGTGGAGAGACATGATCTCCAAAGTCCTGAAAAGACACAGCACATAAAAAAATAAAGTATAATAGGTAGTAGGTATTCTGATGAAATTTTATGCCATTTTGCAATACCAATGCACTGCCTGTCTGAGCTTTAGAGAGTGATGTGATAAAATTTAATGGGGTAAAGGAATTCAATGCAAAGATATTTGCACATAAGCTGAGATGCACACATGCTTCTTTTGTTCAATTACAATCATTTGAGAAGATGGATGATAATTTAGGAGAATAACTGTGAATGAAGGAAATGATATGTCATTGATGATTCAATGCTGACAAGAGTCAAATGAATATCTCTACACCTGTTGTCAAGATTCTAGATGGGCATGTAGTAGCGTGCCAAAATCAACCTACTGTAAGGGCAGCAGTGATAAACACAATATCCACAGTACAGACTAGAGCAAAAGTGGGCCCCAAAAGCTGGTGAGATGTAAACATCCCCAAGCAAGTTGATAAATACACTAAAACACAAGGGGTTACTGCATGCGAAAGAGAATGAGAAGACTTTAATGAGGAGAAAGGACAATAAAAAGACAGGTTTCAGGAAGACAAGGTTGCAATTGACATTACATTTAATTTTTTTTAAGATCATAGCTGACAAAGAAGCAAGGAACCAGAAGAGTCCCAGAAGCAAGGAACCAGAAAAAAGAAACTATTAGAATAAAACTTATCTAATTAATTCAACAATAAAACAATAAAATGATGAAAAATATTTATAGAAGAGGGAAGCCATGTCAAGGTTGTGGGAAAGTGACTGAAGTTCAAATTCCAAGTCAAGACCAATTATATTACCGGTATCGGCGTTTCTTTGGATTTTGTCAAGAATCTTGAGATGTATAGTAGGAGCACCAGATCAAATATGGCAACAATAATTCAATGCATGAACAAATGGTAGATTGATAGACATGCAAAATGGATTCTGACAAGAATGCCTGGTTCAATTAGTTAACCCATCTACAATTCTTGATGTACAGCATCAACAGGTGAAAGAAACTCAAAATAATGTATCATAAAATGGTAGACACCATCTGTATGACTGTGTGCATACAAAAGTAAAAGCCTGTATTAATGCCCCAAATGGATATACAGTGAATTAATCCAGTAATACCCACCATAAAATCCAGTATTAATTTTAAAAATTAAAATAAAAATCCAATATTAATTATAGCTTAAAAAAAAAAATTCAGTATTAATCATAAATTAAAAAATGGCTTGGCAGGAATTATGAGGCCTGATGGATTCATTTTCTATGGCTTATTAACCCTTTGCAGATTATTTAAAGCCAGAAAATGTTTTTAGATTATAAGAATTTGGGAGGGGGATAATAATGATTTAGTGATACAAGTCTTACTAATTAATCCATAGTTGGGGAGAGAAGAGTTGAATTCATTACTTTCCCAAGGGTATTTGTACATAGGTAAATATAATGCACCACCTGCACATCCAAGCTTACAGAATCTGGTATTTCCAAGCGGTCACTCATCTAGGTACAGACCAGGCTCGACATTGCTTAACTTCGGTGATTGTATGAAAACCAGTGTTTCAACATAATGTGGCTGCAAGCAATATGGGGGTCCAAATACAATTGATACACACCTCATTTTGAAACCTGTGCACATACTGATTTTTATATATGATCATTGACTGTAATCCAACATTACCTGTATATTTAATCTTGAATAAATTGAAACATATATTAAGCGTGCTTCACTTTTATTTTCCATCAGTATGAATGGCATTTATATAAAAGGAATCCACTTACTTTTTTCTGTGTTATCTGCTATTCCACTTACGGCCTAAAACAAAAAAAAAAAACATTCATAAAGTCAATGTATGTAAAATAATTTTAAAAGGTAAATGAAATATTTAAAATTTTGCAGATTTTGCACGATGCTTTCAACAACATTTGAGACAAAAAGAGGCACAATATGCAAAATATATTTTTCTTTCTTTTTTAAGCTAAGGAATTGTTAATACAGCCACTTCTTAATAAATTAACAACCTTTGAACTTATGATGATTTTATAAGCATAGTTTACATGTGACGCAAGGCCAAAAGTGTGGAGAACTCAGTGAGAATCAAACTCACTACTAAGTCATAATTCATCTAGTGAAACAAGTTTGTTAACCATTACGTCATGTCAAAGTGCCTCATTAGTTTATATATATATATATATATACTCGCAGTAGAGCCCGGCGTTGCCCGGGGATGTAACAGTAAGAGATAGATCAAGTATCGACCATCATAAATGTCTTAGTTTTTTTTTGTTTTTTTTTTACAAATTGGTCAAACCCAAACTCAAACAAAAACATTGTTTTCAATCGTTATGATGAGTCCCCTGATTGAATAGAATTAGAATTTTATTATAAACAATTGTCTTGTAAATGGAATTTTTAAAGCATTCTGAATGTATAAATAAAAAAAAAAAAGTGTGCAAGACAATAAGAAACACTACCTGCCAAAAAAAAAAAAGTGGATGTTTGTTTTATCGGCTGAAAATGTAAGAAACCGATCCCATATATAAAGGAACACACACACACACACAAACAACCTGGGTTTTTTAACCCGATGTGAGTTGTCCCCTTTCATTCTCACGATGTGTCTTAATCATGTTTTCAAATTGATTTTGTTAAAAAAACAATTGTGTTTTTCCCATTTTCGGCGCCGTTAGAACCACAAGGTAATTTTATGTAGTCCTGTAAAGTTTTGTTGAAATCGGCTAAAAAATGTAGGAAATCCGATCCAATATATAAACGTTACAGACACACACACACACACACACACAATCTGCGTTTTATAATAAGTAAGGTATATAAATTTACTAAGCAGAGCTTAGTTGTGGCACAAAGCCAATATTTAAGGAGTACCTTATAAAGATTCAAATTCACTATTCACTCATAACTCATCTAGCAAGACAAGCTTCTTAACCATTATACCATGCCTAAGTAGTGTGTGTGTCTGTGTGATACCTTTTCACTCAAAGTCCATCCAACCGATTTTGGCCAAATTCGGCACATACATTGTACAATGTCAGAGATAGGTTCTCAACATAAAAAATCAATAATCGTTAAAGCCATTCAAAAATCAATAAATTCAACTTTTTTCCTCCAATTTTGTTCAAACTTGGTATGTAGGTTACTTACATCATGACAAGCTCAATGATACCTAATTTTTATTTGTATACCACTGCATTTAGCAAAAACACCACAAAAAACGAAAAATTGATTTTAGCACAAATCAATTTCAGCACAAATTTTAAGCTAAAAACTCCCTCAATTTTCAAGCAATCTGATACAAATGATACTCAATTGTGGCCAACAATAGGTTTATTATTTAACAGTCATTTAACTTGATAATTGAGTCCATCCATATAGTGAAAACCCATGTAAATAGTGAAAAATGGCAGTTTTTACTGGTTTCTTTCTTACTTTTTGTTGATCTTTCAACCAATTTTCATCAAACTTAATAATTGCTTTATAAATGTATCTTTTTTTACATCCCTGGTAGCACACTGACAAATTGAATTTCAAAAACTCCAAAATAATTGTGATCTGAAGTGGATCTTCATGTTGCCTGTTTTACCCCTTCGTGTCTTTGGCTAACTTTGATTGAATGAATACAGACTACTTCTGATATATCAAAATTTTTTTTAATGAAAGTACTTTAAAGTAATTGAAAATAGACTCTGTTACATCTAAACATTTTTTTTTGCTCCATTCTAATTGAACGCTTTTTCTGATCACCAGCTGGGTACGGCTGCTAGTAAACATATATAGTAATTTACTAAATGAAGCTTAGTTGTGCCAGAAAGTAAGAAGCACCTAGCAAAGATCTAATTCACTACTCAGCCATAATTGATCTAACAAGACAAGCTTGCTGACTATTACACCATGCCGAAATGCTCACAACTCTAGAACTTGACAAGCTATAAAATCTCATGAATTAAACTTAAGAGAAAAATTTTTAAATTATATCCATCAACATTGTACGAAAACTTTGACTGTAATTGTTTTCTTTCTTCAAAATGAATCAAAATCAATAAAATGAATTAAATAAAAAATATATAAAAATTTACTTGTAGACTATGTAAGGTATGCAAACTAATGTGCATACCAATTGATTTTCAAACGTTTATGTTTACTGTACTGTATAGACATTCAGAATTAAATCAAAAATGTTACAAATTGCACAAAAGTGACGTGAAAACTACCAGAAGCTGATGACACAAACCCATTACACCCACAGCATGCCTGAAATAGCAGTCAGGAACAACTTCTTGTTTAGCGACTAGGCCATTGGAATGGAACCCAGTCAAGTCAGGAGTGGCTGTATACTTTGACTTATTTGGTTTAGTCAAACTATGTTAGACACACTTCAAGAAAGTACCCTTTGGCCATCTTCAGGTGTCCATTATTTTGGCTGATAAGGGATATGTCATGTGCACATATGGGAGATCTGTGATGATACAGGATATCTGAGTTGGTTGTTGGGGTTTTTGGTGGGTTTTTTTTTCCATAACAGTTTGTCTTAGAACTAACTTATAATGCTAAACTGTTTTGCCCAACTTGGAATTTTACAGAAAGCATATTAAAATGGTAAGCATTAGAGCAGAATAAAACAATTTACAAAACAACTGAATAAATTATACTTTTGTTTCGATTCACAAGTTGACAAAGATTTGTCATATAGTTCACATAAATTTCTTGCTAGAATATCTGAGAAATAAAGTCAACTGTTTGATAACTACTAGATTCAAAGAGGGAGAAGGGGATAAAACAAACCAGAGGCAAAGAAAGAAGATTAAAATGAAGAATTTACTTACCACAGCAGATGTAACTGAAGACTTTGAGAACAACCGATCAGCTTCTTTAAATTTTCGATTTCTTTTATCTGCTTTGCTGTTTGTATTTCTAAGAAGATAAAGAATTTTTTTATTTTGTTACCACACATGAATTATGACAGAATTTGAAAACTAATATTTTTTTCATGGTAGAACATCCAACTTTAGGAATATTACTTAAAAAACTGGAGTATATCTAAGCCAATGATGAATTAAAAAAAAAATTTTTTTAAAAATCACACACAGAAATCATGTTTGCTATTTATTGCTTTTTATATGAAAAAGAATAATTCAAATTTTGTATTCTACAAGAAGCAAAATTGCAACCCAAACATAAAAAATGATGTGTTCTGTTTATGGAGAAGGTTCTGTGAATGATCAAATGTGACAAAAGTGGTTTGCAAACTTTCGTAATGGAAATTTCTGGCTGAACTATTCTCCATGGTCAGGTAGACCAGTTGAGATCGATAGCAAGCAAATCTAGATATTACTTGAGATTAATCACAGTTAAATAATGCAAAAGATGGCCAACATACTCAAAATGATCCAGAATTGAAAATCATATATTATCACTTTGAGATTAGCTCCACACACTAATTTGGGTTTAAAAGATGCCCTCAAACAAACTACAGATGTGCAAGATTGATTTAAATCACTAGACCATTTCTGTGATATTTATTTATAGTGAATAAATATTAATATAATTGCAGTTTCATTATTATATACTTATTATACAAAATATACAATAATGAAAATTTCCTCATCACAATTGACTGGAAAGGAGGAAACCAGAAGAGTGTTCCACAAACGAGAAGTGCAAAAGAAAAAACTGTTAGCATAGAACTTATGGTTACATCTAGCAATTTTAACTATAACATGAGACTTTTCTGAAAATCTAGTACTGCGCTTAAATTCATAGTTTAGGTACCAAGGAGGAAAGCTTATCAGAACAATTACCATGACAGTATTTATGAAAAAGGCTCAGGGAAGCTACATTACAATGGTGGAAGAGTGACTGCAGCTGAGATGCAAAGTCAGAACCAATAACATTGCAGATCCTTCTTTGTATTTTATCAAGAATCTCTAAATACACAGCAGAAGCACCAGACCATATCTAACAGAAATATCTAATGCAATGGAGGAATGGTAAACTTATAAATGTGTAAGAAAGATTCTGGTGAGAAAAATGGTCTAGCACAACACAGTGAATCAACTTTCCTAGAAGCAAAACCTAACAATTGATTCAATGTAATCTTATCCACTTCCTATCAGTGGAAATGTTAGCTTGAGAAGGTGCAATGATTCACTCTCCTGGAGGTTAGCATCAGCCATGCTGATGGAAAGCAAGAAAGGTTCTCAAATGATTAAGAGAGAGCAGTCTCATTTTGGAGGTGTTAAAATTAACAAGCCCTTTCTTGTACCAGTTAACAACAGATTCTATGTAATTATTTTAGATTAGCTGCCAATTTGACCTTATCAAACCAATCAGATTTACCAAAAATAGATTCAATGTGTTAGTTTAATTTTCTTTCCTCTTCCTTAATTAGTATGCACCATTCTTGGTCAGTCATGTGATCTTTAAATGGCCAATGAGTTAAGCCCTGCAGTAGACACTATGAAAAGATGCTTCCCTGACACAGAACCAAAAAAAAAAAAAACACAACCTCTTCCAACATGACATGTTATTGAGAACAGAATTTTGCAATATTCACTAGCCTTTATTTTCAGGGTTGAAGAGAAGGCATATACTTTGTTAGCATGTTCTCTTTCTAGAAAATTCTTACAACTTCTCCCTAGCTGTCTTTATCTCTTTACTTTTAATGCTTGAGTAAATAACTGATCCTGCAGCAGGTACCACTAAGGCTGTCTACATATATTGGGTGAAGCCAAACAAACACATATGTGACTGTATATAAAGATCAGGTTGTCATAAAATGATTTTTATTTCTGGAAATAGGGAAAATAGAATTCAAAATGGCAAGGGGTAATATGCTTTAAACAAGTCAAATGTAAGAGGATCAAGATTTATAACTAAAAAATCTTATAATGAATTGAAAAAAAAGAAAAAACAAAAGATCAATTTTTGGGGGTTGGGGATTTAAATTGCACTTACTTGTTATTTGTTAAATAGCGATCCCATCCTTTGATAATGTTTCCGTAAAGCTGGGTGTCCTCCAAGTAACTGCCTTCAAATGCATAAATTTGCCTTTCCAAGTTAGCCAAGGTTTCCTAGAAAATTTAAAGGAAAAAAAATATTAGGAAAACAAGTTAATCTACCAGAATTCCCTGAGCCTTTACAGCAGTGGTTTGGTTTGTTTTGTTTTACGGCATATCAACACCTCAATGGGTTATTTAATGCTGATAAGATTTTTATTGCTGGTAATATTTTTGTCCAAAAAAGTATTGCTGGTAATATTTTTTTCCTTCAAAAATTCATTGCTGGTATTAAAAACTATTTTTACACTTTGATAGTGTTTTGACCACAGTTTAGGGGTTAACTATTTGCCTATAGCTGGGACCATAACAGGTGCTACCACCCCAGGTCAGGGTGAACCTGGGAACACCAGCAATTAAGAGGTGGTTTCACGCTCCTCAAAACCTCCTGATAAGAGGCCTTGCTGTTGGACGTAGTTTATTGTCTTACACAGGACTCAGATGTAGTTTATCGTCTTACCCAGGATGCTTACAGCAGTTGTTCTTAATTTGTTCTTCCCCAGTGCCACATTTTTGATATTTGTACAGAGTAGCACTCCCACTGTGTTAAAATTACACTGGTAAATGGTGTAGAGTTAATATCAGATATTTATATTACTGTATGATAGTAGCACCAATCACAAAGTGAACACTGGTAGAAACAGCCAAATCACTGTTAGCATTCCAGATCAAAGCTACTAGACTTTGACAAGCAACTTTTTGTTTCATAAACAGTGTGCAATTAAATGACCAATATGAAATATATGACAAAAAATGTAAAAGATATAAGCAAAATAAATATGAAAATGAAAAAATATATAAATATAACCAAATAATAAAATGTCTTTTTGTAATGAAAAACACATTGATTCGGAAATTAGTGCAAAAAACAGATAACTGTCAGTACTTATTCACAAATAAATGAAATTACTTTTTAAAGGTTTTTTTTGTGTTTTTTTTGTTTTTTTTTTTTACATCTGTTACCCCAACTTATTCAATTTTATGAACTTTCAAGAAATTTCTTTTTGTAGCACTTAATGTTTAAATTAGCTAAAAAGGAAAGTCCTCAGCAAATTTAAATCTTTTAAATTATTTTGGTCAAACAGGGAAGCTACAGAAAATAAAAGTGGTAACTATAGTATGGTCCAAATTTGTCTATATTTCTGAGAAGAGGTATTATGTACACTATATACATTATTCGGACTATTGTCCTCATCTTTGTTACCATGTTTATTACAACATCTCAGTTGTTGTATGCTCCAGCCTTCTTTATTTTGCTTGCTGGGGTAGACTGCTCTAGTTCCACGTACCATGTCTAATGGATGTCAGTCATCTCCTGTTAATTCCCTTCTGAAAGTTCCCCACTGCCTTAACCAGGTATTGAACTCACACTCTTTGGGTCCTGACACTGGATCTAACTAATGCCTTTATCCACTGTGATAAGGTTAGTTAGATCCAGTGTCGGGACCCAAAGAGTGTGAGTTCAATACCTGGTTAAGGCAGTGGAGAACTTTCAGAAGGGAATTAACAGGAGATGACTGACATCCATTAGACATGGCACGTGGAACTAGAACAGTCTACCTCAGTAAGCGGAATAAAGGGTTCAGTTTGACATTCCAACCACCTGAAGAAGGCTGGAGTGTACAACGGCTGAAATGTTGTGATAAACATGGCAACAAAGATGAGGACAATAATCCAAATAATGTAAATAGTGATTCAAATTTATTGTTAATTTTCTAACATTTCTTCAACAAGGTCTAGACAAGTAAGTAACTAAAATTCAATAAAATATTTGATTGCTTTGAATATTTTCTTAAATTTTTATGATTACTGAGTAGTTATATATATATATATATATATATATATAAGACACTCACGTTACATTCATCAAGTATTTATTAGTTATGTCTTCCTTCAAGTTTATTTATAGAGTTGTCAACACATCATAAAAACACCAACCTTCGTGTTAAAAATATGCTTTTCTGTGATATTTTATTAAAAAAAGTAAGTAATATTTGTTTCAAATCGGATTAATTAAATTTTAAATCAGTTTATTCTTCAAATAAAGTTTCAAAAAAGTATTATTTTATTTTTGAAAGATTTTTTAATAAAGAAAACTACGTTGTGTTGACAGATCTATTTGTCAACATAGGCGGCGATTTTACTGGTAAATTTTATGGATTATACAATTCCAGATTACTGCAAGTTAGAAAACTAAATATACCTATGGACTAAGAAAACTACGTTGGCAAATGGTTTTGTCAAGGAAAACATTTTTTTATGTCATCAATAAAAACAGAATAGTTGATAAACAATACGTCAGTGTTGTTACCCATGTGGGTAAGATCCGATCAGACCGAACTTAACAATAACAACAAATAACTTTTTAAAGTTCTCTTAACAAAACTTGTAGAAAATTAGTAATAGAAAAGTTTATTTTTATTCGTAATAATTATTAATGAAAAAAAATTACATTATATTTTTAATCAAGTTATTTTTGTTTTTACTTTCAGTAAAAAAAAGAAGAAAAAACGTAATAATTACAATTTATTTAAATATTCCATTTGTTGTAAAGAGATGTTTTAATTATTCATCCTTTTTTTTAAATGTTGGAATTATTTTTAATTTTTAAAGTTATTTTTTTTTTAAAAAAAAGGCGAATTTTAAAAAATAAGTAACAAAATGAAAAAGACTATAAACTTAAAATATTAAATAAATTTTTAAATTTATTAAAATAAAGTAAAATTATTTCTAAAAATATTAAATTATTTTTAAATATCAAAATAAGTAGTTTTTTTATAAAAAAAAGAAAGAAAGTAGACAAAAGGGGAGATAATCAATGAATGAAAATTTAGCCGATTAAAAAAGATAGGTAAATAAACTAAGTTTTTTGATTTTGGTTTGATTTTATTTCAGTGAAAACCAGAAAATAAAATTATTCTTGAAATTTATTTTTATTCATGTACTGTCTGTTTACCAGGAGAAAAAAAATATGGAAATCATAAAAACATGTTCAATATTGAAATCAAAATACCAACCCAAACAGCAAACCCGACAACCACAAAAACCCAAGGAAAGATGCACGGAACTAAAACAGAATAATCCGAATAAAAACAATTTTATCAACAAAAGAAGTTCGAATCGCTTCCGCTCTATAATGTTCGTTAAAATTCGATTCGACTGAATAAAGATCAAATAATTTTAAAATGAAGTTTTCTAGGTTAAACAATTAAAAATTACTAAACACCTTTCGATCGTTTGTAACAAAACAACATTGATCAATTTCTGGGGAAAGAGGAAGACGAAAGCTCCCGCCAATGAAAATAAGGGGGAAAATTTAAATAAATGAAAAACACCAATTTGCCTGATGTTAAAAGACTTTAAACTCCGACTGTGCACTGGAGTTTTAAATCTGTCTTCTTACCGCAATTTCGGTCCTTCTCCGTACAAGTTCTGCCAGTTCAGTCCTGGTGTCGAGCGTTGTTATTTGTCGCTGGCCCGCCATCTTGAAATACAGCCGACCACAGAGAAAGTACGCTGTTCCTGATTGGTTATTTTTGGATGGCTCGAACTTTTCGCTTTTTGTTTTACTCAAAATTAAATATATTTAGGGGATAAAATATCATAATCGTAATGCCATTTAAAAATGTAAGATATATTATATTCAAAGGGATATTGTTTTCAATGTTAAAGAGAAGAGCTGGTACTCTTCTTTCCCCAGGAGTAGTCGTGCCCTCGTGTAGATTTTTATTTTTCAGAGTGTGGGTGTGTTTGTGTGCATCTATGAAAGGAAGAATAAACACTGATGTTTGTTTTTTGCTTATTAGTTCAATTAATTATAATTATTCAACCCGTCTTGTTATTCTTTACTTTCATCTTAACAGTAACTTGGATTGAAAATCATAACTCTATTTTCGATGAGTTTCATTTCTACAAAATAAAATATTAAAAATAATTTTTTAAAATGTCAGATCTACACAAACAATGTTTGTTGACTGTAAGCTGTTAAAATAGTGATTGTGAGATTGAGGGCATTTTATTCTGAATTGAGATGTTTTCTTTCTCCTTGGTTTGTTTGTATGTGGCATCAAATCTAATGATAAGCAAGAAATAAATTTTTTTAAAAAATAACTTTGTTCCAGTCACATTGTAAATGGTTAGGAAAACATTGAAATAAAATAAATGACGCTATGAATTCTTTAAAAATCTTTTTCTCTAACCAATAAAACTTTACAATTGACCAGAACAGCTTTTGCAAATTGAGTGATAGTGATTAATTAATTTAATTTTGTAAAGTTTTACTTTTCTGTGTTATGGCCATTAGATCCCTCAGCAGATGAACAACATGGAGAAAAAAAACTGATTTCAAATCAAAACTTTTCCATTTTGTTAAAATATGATATTTTACTCAGACGAAGGAGCATTGAAAGTGACATGACCTATGAATCACCGGTGGTTAATGATCTGGTCACTTCAACGTGGTCTATAGGGAATTTTTGCCCGAGCCTACGGGCTCGGATACCCCACTTTAAACTCGTCCTTGTGCCACATCTTGCTGCGTGGGGCAGCGTGTAAATAATTATTAGTTCACAAAGCTCATGTTGAGATAAAGTGGCATAAAAAATAATTAAAAAAAAAAAAATCTTACAACAAAAATAAATAACAGTTGAAATTGAAATTAGTAAAATCTAATTTTTAAAAAAGTGTACTTGTGGGTTATCTGTCGCGATTTTTTAAAATGCGTTTCTTGTCACTTGTCAGTTATCTGTCGCCTCATTTTAATTACGTTTTGGTGATCTTTTATAAAGTTAGATGTGGTATTTAAAATGCTTTTTTTAATTAATTTAATTGTCTTTTCTTTTCTGAATGCTAACGTATAATTTTACACATCTGTATTTGTGAAAAAGTTTGAAAATTAATTTAAAAAGTGGCGACAGATAACCCACTAGTACCAGAAAACGTCATAGCTAAGGTTAAAAAAAATAAAAACATAAAAACGCTCATAATGCAGCGTTGCCTGAGGGAAGAGCGGTCCGCCCCAGTGACACTTTTATGGTGCAGCACATTGGATCTGCTGTATAAACTTGTATGAGCTACTTAAAAAAGTGGTTTTAATGTCGAGACAATAAAGCTGAAGGAAGTTTTCCACTTCGAGTAACTTAAATTATGACATGAATTTTAAGCCATTGTTATCTTGGCCGAACAATAAACATTTCATTCATGTATTCAGGGCTGTTTTATCATTGCTTAAAATGTGAAACCTGTGAATGGGTCCAGGGTGCGTTCTTTCAATGCCGCAGCATCGCTGTGTGTGGGATACACATATTTGTTATCATAGAAATTTCAGTTATTCTCCTTGACAGAAGCTCGATTGAGGGTATGTATTGCCATATTTTACGTCTTTTGGGCTTGTTAGGTCCAAAAGACGAAATAATAGAGCAATACATAGGTGGCAAACTCTATGACTGCCTCGGGCAGTACACACTCTAGCTTACGCCACTGACTTAATGTAAGTCATGTTCTATCGCAATACTTTAGATTTTTTTTTTAAATAAAATCCGTTTATGACGCTTTTTGATCAGCGAAATGTCAGTTAACTGTTAACATAAACGTTTTTCCAAATATTAGCAGACTATTTGTGACTCGTTGGGTCAACTTTGTTTTGTTTAGTACTGTTTACATTTAGTTTTATGTTTGTAAAAAAAAAATAGAGATATTTTTAAAAAAAACTCATTTATTTGCAGTTAGTTTAGGAAACATATAACACATTTTATTAAACAGTACTCCATTTTCGGCTTGATCTGGCACTTATATAGGTAGAGAATAGCCTGAGAAGTCAGGTACTTACCTGGCACATGTCAGAGAGTATACCCCAGACGAGGCTATGCCGAAGTGCAGAACCTCGTCTCGGGAAACTGACTCCGTTTTTACGTGGTCTACTGGGAATTTTTGCCCGAGCCTACTGGCTCGGATACCCCACTTTAAAACTCGGCCTTGTACCACATCTTGCTGCGTGTGACAGCGGGTAAATAATTACTTACTGGAGCGGTACAGAGAACCGATCATTTTACCTGCATCTTTAGCGATGGATTAAAAGTTCGACTTGAGGTTGGGCGTAAGTTTGAGACCCAATATTTTCTCAAGGCACGGAGCCTCCTCAAGGGGACTTCTGTTCATCGTGAATGGCGGTAGTTAGGGGTCTGATCAGCGATGATGGAATGAATGTAACCAGTTATGAACAATTTCTGTTCCTTAGTCCTTCCAAAAATAAAACTATTAGAAAAACGTAATAAAAAACCTTAGTTGTCTGTAACGTTCAATGAAACATACCCACACACATACTTACATATATTCGTTTAAAAATATGTTTTATTAAACAGAACTTACAGGCAGTGGCGTAGTTAGTGTTTCAATTTTGTCGCCCCTCCCCAGACGGAATATAACATTACAATGCACATTAACCCCTTAAAGTATATATATATATAAAGTCAACGACAAAATTATTCGTACACCCATCAATTTTGAATATTTTTATCAATTTCTCAGAATCTAATGCCCGTATGATGCCAGGTTTTTTTCTGTTAACGTGGTATTTATGACTCATCAATGATAAATTATGAAATAAAAGTAAAATTGTGTTTATTTATTTAAAAAAAAATAAAACTAGGAATATTTAAAAAAACAAAACAAAAAAAACGAAGACGTTACTTCTTTTTTCCTAAATCGGGAAAACTTTAAAAACTTTTTACGATATTTAAAAACCTGCTTTTGTTTATATACCTTCTGTTTTATTCAAAAACGAAAAAAAAACCCACTAAACTCATTAATCCAACCTCACATCAAGCCTGTAATGATCATCATCATCATTACACACATACATACACAAATTCAAATTATACAACAACAAGCATTCATTGGATAATAAATCAACACTTCTTTGTAATAGACAATTTATAAATCGCAGCTATGCGACAATTTTATAATCGCTATATTTTCATGTAGTAGATTTTGTGCACTTTTTGGAGAATCAGTTCCCAAGAGCCTTCTTAGCTTAGTAAATATTTTTCAGGAAATATCAGCGTCTAATTGGTCAATAAACACACAAGTGGACGTTGCAATCCACCCACGCACAATATATTTTTCCAGCGCGTGACTGAGTCAAATTTCCCGCCAAGGCGCTCTGAGCCTGTCACGTGATTACATTATCGATAAAAACAAACAACCACGAGTTTACCTCTTCCTCTCTTTCTTCTCTATTCTTGCTGCAAAATATAGTCCCAGAGAATTATCGTCTTGACCTTGCGGTCAGACGTTAAAAAACATTACCAACATACACGTACATATGAACATTCACCACAATACGAACTCTTACGAACATTCACCAAAATACGAACGTTTACACACGCACACAAATGCTCACACACAAACACAATGTTAACTGTCTATGTACTTTAGAAATGTTCTGTTTAAAACATATATGTTTTTATATATATCAGTCTTGTTTGTTTGTCTTCCTTATCTCCAGTTGGACTTAATTCAAGTCCAACATTCTATTATAGCTGGACCTTCTACCAGGAAATATAAGCCCACGTGTTTTCTTTACATCTTCACCCCTCGGTCCTCTACATAATGGCGACCGCCGACGTGATTTTGCGAAGGAAAGCCAATAGTCAACATAATGGTCCACTACAAGCCCTTTAAAAATGTTCAAATTTTTTTTCACACTTTTTGCTCACGTCTTTTAAGTGGGGTGTATCCCCACCCGCTGACAGCGCGTTTTGGAGACATTTTTTTTTTTTTATTGCTGGCTGGCTTAGAGCCAACCTTAAAGACAAATTGGTTTCATTTGAACCTTATCTTCTTCCTTTTTTTTATTTTATTTTATTTTTTTTTTTAAAATTATTGAAATTATGCTATTGTTTTTTTTTTTCTTTTCTAAAAACTCACCGTAGACCAAAAGTGCCGCCCGGGGCGGACTGCGCCCCCGCCTAGCTCCGCCACTCCACAGGGAATGTAATTTTTAGCCTTTTGGCGTGTTTTTTCTTCTAAGCTGTTCGATGTCAACTGGATACTTGTAAAGGTACATACTGCAGGGAGAAGACGATAAATAGCTAGAGGAGAATTTCTGTTGTTGATAACCGTTCGAAGTTTAAATTAAGATGGGTTGATGTGGAACACCAGATGAAACTCACCAAAAGTCTCAATAGACGTTCATCGTCTGTCCTATTTGATAAGACATTTTTAAACGAAAGATTTTCCTAAATATGTTTATTACACACACACACACACACACACACACACACACACACACGTATAATTATGTATTTGGGTAGCAATTCCTTTTTAATCCCTCAGAAATCCTTCTATTTAAGATTCCTTGTGTTTCGTTTGTGATCGTGAGGCAATGTGGTGTAATGGATAGCGGCTCGGATTTCTCAATCCGAGCCGCTATCCATTACTTCGAATTTAAGTCAGATCCATTACATTCACTTACGCTAATACCCT